TGTAAACGTATTAACAGTCTCTGTTAATGTATTAACAGTCTCTGTTAATGTCTTAACAGCCTCTGCAAATGTATAAACAGTCTCTGTTAATGTATAAACAGTCTTTGTTAATGTATAAACAGTCTTTGTTAATGTATTAACAGTCTCTGTTAATGCATTAACAGTCTCTGTTAACGTATTAACAGTCTCTGTTAACGTATTAACAGTCTCTGTTAATGATTTAACAGTCTCTGTTAATGTATTAACAGCCTCTGCTAAGTTATTTACAGTCTCTGTTAATGTATTAACAGTATCTGTTAATGTTTTAACAGTCTCTGTTAATGTATTAAAGCCCTTTGCTAATGTTACTGTATTAACAGCATCTGTTAATGTATTAGAGCCTCTGTAAATGTATTAACAACTTGTGTTAATGTATTATCAGCTTCAGATAATGTATTAATAGCCTCTGTTAATATATTAACAGCATCTGTTGATGTATTGACAGCCTCTATTAGGGTATTAAAATACTGTGCTACTATATTAAAAGTCTCTGTTAATGTATTAACAGCATCTGTTGATGTATTAACAGCCATTGTTTCCCCAATTGGATTAAAAAATATTTTAAAAATTTTGTAAATTTTTTTGATAATGATAACAACAGTTTTTTAAAGATTGTTTCGTTTTATGCCCCACTTCCTCACACGCCATTTGCTTATTAGTTTGTTCTGTGTGTAATTATTGTTTTAGATATATCTCGAATTCCCTAGCCTTTGTATGCTAAACTAAATGGGAGTTACGAACAAATGTTAAATGCTAATGGGGTTTCGAACTCTTAGATTGATGTTCAATTGTCATGACTTCTAAGTCATGAACATGTAAGACTGCTAAAAGAAGGCTACCTAATTACATATTTATATAGAGACAACTATAGATCAGGTGATGAAAGGTACCAAAATAAAGGAGTTCTTGGCGGAAATGTGTCGTCAATGAATGGAGTATTTTTTTTAACATTTTCAGGAAACAAAACTGATATGAAGTGATCGAAATTTTCAATACAAAATGTGAGATGAAATCAAAAAATTAATATAGATCTATGTGTTGATATAGACCCAACAAATGAACTTATATAAAAAATGTATTCTATGAAGCTTTTTAATAAGAACCTCGATGCCAAATACATCCTTTTCGGGTGATAACTTTAGGTATAAAAATTTTACAATACCTACAATGCGGCTGATCGATTATATGGGACCTATGTCAAAATATGGGAATATAATTAAAATGTCGTAAAAATCAGTTTCTTCCTCCAAGAAACCCGAAAGTCAAATTACTTATAGTCACTTTTCAAAATATCTAAAGCAAAGCGGAACCGTTATATGCGCACTAATATGTCCCATTTTAATTTCAAACATCCTGGGAATTGTGGTATCTCTATGTAATTTTTCAAAGGTCCATCTTAAATATTCTGAACTGACCGAAAGGCGATCATGGCCAAGTTGATATAGAATTTTATTCTGATGAATAATATACAAATACAATTAATGAGGTCTCCGACGACTATATCGGTGTGTTATACAAAGACTAATTAAGTAAATAGACCCTCCATATCTTATGGAGGAATCTATAAAAATACACCTTCCCTCTTTAAACTAACCCACATACATACAAATCTAAATATGTCTGTTCTAAAACCAGCATTTAATTCTCAAAAATAAATTTATATTCAAAATTTATTTATTTTCGATGACATTTAAAACAAATAAACTTATAAAAAAACACTCTTAGCATAAAACAAATATAACGGTTATTCGGACATAATTATTATCGACGACGACCATTAAAACTACAGCAATAATCGTCGTGGTCTATTATTAGTCAAAACAAAAACCCCATAATTATGACAGCGGACAAATGAATAAAATAATAATTATTACTATTATTCGAAAGGCGAAATAGCAACAACAACAATAACTAAATGACAATAATTTTAAATTTGTTGTTGACTTGGCTGGTGACACCCAGCTACAAAGAAAAAAACATAAATTTTCGAAAAACCATTTAAAAACAGTTCAATAGACAAAACGCCGTTCAGTTGTTGATTTATATAAATGTGTGAGTGTGTGTGTTTTTTTTTATTATTTTGAATGTCTTTGACCTTTTGCTGGTAAAAACGGTTTTTGGTCGAAACCAAAAAACAAACTTTGCCTCAAATCGTTAGCAGTAAATTAAGCATAGAATAACAAACAGTTAAAATAGTAAATCTATTTTGGTTGTTGTGGCCTGCCAGCATTTTTAGTGGCGAGAAAAAAATTCTTGAACTTCATAAACGAAATAGACATAAATATTTTGATTAGTACCCCACAGAAAAAACAAATAAAAGATTAATAAACGAAATCACTCATAATATTTCAAAAAAATTGCATACCGAATTTTTGCCTATTGAAGTGGGGCTGTTTTTTATTTTTAGCTTTCGGTTATATTTTTGTGGGTTTGGAGGTCAACCACACAAAAAAATATATGCAGAGAAGGATTGAAATATTAAATGACACACAAAAGATTAAGGTTAAGAGGAATGTGTTTATATTTCTAAAAGAAAAAATACACAAGTAAATCAATTAAGGGGGAATTGTGACGAATTGAAATCTCCCCCAAGACAATTTATTAACTTGTGTTTTTTTAATCAAATCAATGTCACTGTGTTGTTCATGGATTTTCAGCAAGCGAATCTTCATGGTATTGTTGTTGATTATCCAAATTCACCCCTCTCCAAATTGCCAATTAAACCACTTGGTTTTTATTTTAAATTGCCAATTGTTGTAGTTTTTTTCTTTTTGTACCAAAAACAATTGTAACATTTTGTTATGTTTTGGTGACCTTGAGACAAGCAATGTGTAGCACATGTTTTAATTTTGGCATTACTAATTGAAATTTTGTATTGTTTCAATTAAATTGAAAAATCCAAAGTAAAGATGAAAAAAACAACAAAAATGTCGCAAATATCGGCATAAGTTTTAAATATAATAAAATTTGAAAAAACAAGTGAAAAAGCGTTACGTTCGGCCGGGCCGAACTTTGGCATACTGGCAGGTACTTGAAATGAAAATATAGGGAACATAACAAAAAGTGGACCTATACCGACATTTCTACAAACCGATTATGTAAACCATAATAGAAAATAACACCCTCAGCCTTATGACTAATTAGTGTGTATACACTTTCACACGGTGAAAATGTGCCTCATTGAAATATTGGTTCTAGACCCCATGTTCCTTTGGACCAAATCCGTTTCAGAAAATTTTGATTTCATTCCATGTTATTATTTCTTCCAATGTTAGTTCAAGTTCGAAGATGGGGAATATCGGGCCACTCCTACTGGTACGTCCAACCCAGGGGCTAGGCCTAGGCATAAATGCGCGGAACAAATCGAATAACTATTTCAATATAAAAAAGGGGTTATACGGGGACTACCCCAAAAAGGGGGCGAATATTAATAATTTTTGGTGGGTGATTTTCTACCATATACGACTACAAAATACCAAAATGCAGCAAATTTGGTTGAAAAACGCCCTCAAGAACCCCAAAATACCGAAAATTGGAGGCACACTTATTTGGGGGCTATCCGAAAAAATGGACATGTATTCATAATTTTTTGTGGAGAGATTTGGTACTTAATAAGAACTCAAAATACTAAATTACAGTCAATTCGGCGAAAAATACGATCAAAACCCCCAAAGTACTGAAAAGTAGAAGGTACCGTTCTATGGGGGTACCAGAAAAAAAGTGGACCGATATTTATAATTTTTAGTGGATATATTTGGTACCCAATAAGAACCCAATGTATAAAATTTCAGCGAATTCGGTTGAAAAACGCGCTCAAGAACACCAAAATACCGAAAATTGAGGAGTACCGTTATATGGGTGGTACCAGAAAAAATTGAACTATATTTATAATTTTTAGTGGGGAGATTTGCTAGCCAATAAGAACTCAAAGAACCAAATTTCAGCGAATTCGGTTGAAAAAAGCGCTCAAGAATCTCAAAATACCGAAAAGCGGGATTACCCTTATATGGGGGCTATCCGAAAAAATGGACCGATATTTATAATTTTTAGTGGGGAGATTTGCTGCCCAATAAGAACTCAGAGTGCCAAATTTCAGCAAATTCGTTTGAAAAACACGCTCAAGAACCTCAAAATACCGAAAATGAGGGGTACCCTTAAATGGGACCTATACCTAAACATGGACCGATATATCCCATCTTAGAACTTGTCCTGTCTGCAGACAAAAGACAACTTTATGCAAAATTTCAACACCCTATCTCAATTCATTCAGCAGATAGCGTGATTACAACAGACGGACGGACATGGCTAGATCGTCATAGAATTTTACACTGATCAAGAATATATATTCTTTATAGGGTCGGAAATGAATATTTACATTAAATCGGACGAAAATATGTATGGGAGCTATATCTAAATCTGAACAGATTTTCACGAAACTAAGCACACATCATTCCAGACCTAATTCAGTAGGGTATACCAAACTTCGTGCAAATCGAAAGATATATAAGGACTTTGGTGCACCATTTACATGAAATCGGACGAAACTATATATGGGAGCTATATCTAAATCTGGACCGATTTTTCAATAGGGTTCGTCCTTGGGCCAAACAAATGAGCTGTGCCAAATTTCATCCAATTCTGATCATAAATACGACCTGTACTTTGTTTACAATTTAACACCAACAGACGGACGGGAACTATGGGTCTATCTCATTTCCTTTTGCCTGTTTTAAATTTATGCAGAAAGACATAATACCCTGTACCACAGCGTGGTGAAGGGTATAAAAAACACTCCTATAACTGGGCTTTAAATTTTTAGAAGAATCCGCACCAATAGCATTGCTTTAATTTTTTAATGAAAGTGAATTTAATCTCAAATTGTAAACAAATTACTGAACAATTAATTTCATTTCTTGTTTTTTTCTCGTTGTAATTAATTATGCAATACGAATACCACTTACATAAGATCTGGTCTAAAATGATGGATCATTGCACAAAACGCCAGACCATCACGCCACGATGTGGTCATATTGTCGATTTGTACACCAGGATAACCTTCTGTCATGCGACGGCACCATAATTCCAAAGCTTTTGTTCCACGACGTTCAGCCATTGTTCTTCTGTTGGTTTTTGTTGTTGTTGTATGTGTGTTTGTTTCTGGTTTTCTAAAGCTTTATTGTTCTGCTGGTGGTACCTCTAATGCGTTGTCAGCGTTTTAAAAAAATGATTGTAGACACGCGATCAAAATACAAAATCTATGTTTTTTATAATTATGGGTATTTTTCGTTATTTCCAAAAATTTTGTAGTCTTCTAAAGCACCAAAAATAAAATGTTGTTTTAATCTGAAATGGAAAAAAAATGAAGATAGAATTGAATGATTAATATAGTGTCATATATAAATGTATGTTAATTAAGAAAACAAACATGTTTTTTGAGTTTGCTTTTTGAAACATGGTTATTTAGAATGTGTTATTAAAATATATTGAGAAGATGTATTTGAAATGAAATAATCGAGTTTTTGTGTGTGTCATTAAATTGATGGGTATTGGGATGGGACGAAAATAAAGAGTTTTTTTTTTTAGAAAATGTATTAACAGCTTCTGTCAATGCATTAACAGCCTCTGTTAATGTATTAACAGTCTCTGTTAATGTATTAACAGTCTCAGTTAATGTATTAACAGTCTCAGTTAATGTATTAACAGTGTCAGTTAATGTATTAACAGCCTCTGTTAATGTATTATTAGCCTCTGTCAATGTTTTAATAGGTTCTGTTAATGTATTAACAGTCTCTGTTAATGTATTAACAGTCTCTGCTAATGTATTAACAGTCTCTGTTAATGTATTAACAGTCTCTGTTAATGTATTAACAGTCTCTGTTAATGTATTAACAGTCTCTGTTAATGTATTAACAGTCTCTGTTAATGTATTAACAGTCTCTGTTAATGTATTAATAGCCTCTGTTAATGTATTAACATCCTCTGTTAATGTATTAACAGCCTCTGTTAATATATTAACAGCTTCTGTTAATGTATTAACAGCCTCGGTTAATGCATTAACAGCCTATGTTAATGTATTAACAGCCTCTGTTAATTTAGTAACAGCCTCTGTTAATGTTTTATCAGCCTCTGGTAATGTATTAACAGTCTCTGTTAATTTATTAACAGCCTCTGTTAATTTCGTAACAGCCTCTGTTAATGTATTAACAGACTCTGCTTATGGGTTAACAGTCTCTGTTAGTGTATTAACAGCCTCTGTTAATGTATTAACAGCCTCTGTTAATTTAGTAACAGCCTCTGTTAATGTTTTATCAGCCTCTGTTAATGTATTAACAGTCTATGTTAATTTAGTAACAGCCTCTGTTAATGTTTTATCAGCCTCTGTTAATGTATTAACAGACTCTGCTAGTGGGTTAACAGTCTCTGTTAGTGTATTAGCAGTCTCTGTTATTGTATTAGCAGCCTCTATTAACGTATTAACAGCCTCTGTGAATGTATTAACAGCCTCTGTGCATGTATTAACAGATTCCGTTAAGGTAAGAACGTCTCCTGTCAATGCATTTACATCCTCTGCTATTTCATTAACAGCCTCTGCTTATTTCTTAAAAACCTCTGTTGATGTATTATAAGCCTTGGTTAAGGTATTAACAGCCTCTGGTAATGTATTAACACCTTATGTTAATGTATTATATACATGTTAAACATTAACAGTCTTTGTTATTGTACTAACAGCCTCTGCAATTGTATTAAACTATTGTATTAACTATTTCTGGGAATGTCTTATCGCCTCTATACATTGCTGGTCTGTGTTAAATCATATTCCAAGTTGTTTTCAAATGTGTGTTTGTTTTTTTTTTTAATTTCTTAGTATTGCCTATCCTTCCCGTCATGTAACCAACCCGTCATGTCAGACGAACCCTTATTTCAATACCTATGTTCTATGCCGTCATTACATGTTAATTTATTTTTTATTATTTCGAAATTTGCTAACTGAACAAATGGTCATCCATCCATCGACTAACTTTATGTATTGTATTTAAGTATTCAGTTGGTGTTAAAATTTATGTTCAGAAACTTCTCAATACTATCTAGTAAACCACAAGAAGTAGAAAAGAGCTAATATTTCTTAAGAAACTGTCAATATGCTGGCGGCTGAGTGAGTGACTGACTGAAACAAACCTTTACGGTTTTTACATGAAATGTATGCTAAACCACAATAACACAACAATATAAAAATAAATTCAAAATTTGCATAAAAAAATAAAACGTGCTTAGACTCATTTATGTACAGCGCAACAACATTTCGTAGACAAACATACGAGCACACATATGTACAAGCAGAGATGTCATTCCACCATTCCAATACAAAAAGACTACACTTTTTGAATTTTGTATTCAGTTTGATTGAAGACTTCTTTAAGTTTGATGACGTTTAGCTTTAATGGGTTTCTAAAAACCCTTTACCCTATAGCCCATAAAAAAACTACCTAACATTAACTTCAATGAATTGTGTGTGTGAACAAAGCTTGAAGATTTTTTTTTCGCTGGCGTTTTGTCTTTTTCGTCGAAGACAAGTCTACAAAATGAAAAACATTTATATTTTTGAAGAGAAAGTTCATGTAGCTGTACTACGGAAGCTTTCCTCCCCGAGTGTATCGATGATGAATCGTTTATTTAATTTCTCGTTTAAGGAACTACAATTTTTATTGTCATTTATTTTTGTCATCACTTTCATTATTTTGCGATTTTATTAATAAATCATTTTGATATTAAAAGATTTTGACATATGATGCGGGTATTTTGTTTTTTTAATAAAAGTCATCTCCAGAGCTTTAACTCTTAAATAATCAAATATTACGTCAAATTTCGGCATTTTAACAGAAAATGTAAATATTTTAATTACATTAACAGAGACTGTTAATACATTAACAGTGGCTGTTAATACATTAACAGAGGCTGTTAATACATTAACAGAGGCTGTTAATACATTAACAGAGGCTGTTAATACATTAACAGAGGCTGTTAATACATTAACAGAGGCTGTTAATACATTAACAGAGGCTGTTAATACATTAACAGAGGCTGTTAATACATTAACAGAGGCTGTTAATACATTAAACAAGGCTGTTAATACATTAACAGATGCTGTTAATACTTTAACATATGCTGTTAATACATTAACAGATGCTGTTAACACATTAATAGATGCTGTCAATAGATTAACAGAGGCTGTTATAACATTAACAGAGACTGTTAATACATTAACAGATGCTGTTAATACATTAAGAGATGCTGTTAATACATTAACAGATGCTGTTAATACATTAACTGATGCTGTTAATACATTAACAGATGCTGTTAATACATTAACTGATGCTGTTAATACATTAACAGATGCTGTTAATACATTAACAGATGCTGTCAATAGATTAACAGAGGCTGTTATTACAAAAACAAATGTTGTTAAGAGCTGTTAAAACATTAACATAGACTGTTATTACATGAACAAAGGTTGTTAATACATTAACAGTATTTATTTTATTATTATTTTTATTTAGAAAAAGTTCGCCTCAAGTGGATCGGAGCTCTGATTTTTTCTATAGAACAACAATATCCTCTGATAAATTGAGGCAGAGATTTTTATGAAAAATTAGAAGACCTCAGGAGCACTGATGCTGTAGTTTATGTATTTAGAAAAAAAAACGATTCAGGCGTATGGGGAATTTTTAAATAATTCTAATCTATGGTGGATAGTATATTAAATTTAGGATCGAAAGATTCGATGGAGATCCCATTAAGTATATACATATATTTTTGATCAGAATAAAATTGCGTGTTTATTTAGCCTGGTCCGTGCATATATCTGTTAAAATCACTATAGAGTTCGCAGTATTTTATATAGAGTTTCGAAATTTTGCACTGACAAAGGTCTTCTATAAGATGACCTCCAGCTCAACTATAAGAAGACGTCAGATACTCTGGACAATTTTTTCTAAAAAATCCTCAATCAATGAAAATGATTTTTTTCTACTGACGACAAGTTTTTTCTATGGAGAAAAATCGTCATTTGGTAGAAATGAAATTTTTCCTAGAAAAAAATCATCATTAATGAGGACATTCCTCCATGATCCGTCCGTATGTCTGTTTGAAATCACTATAGAGTTTGCAATATTTTAGATACAGCTTCGATATTTTGCACTGACATAGCTATTACTCGTAGGATTTTTGAAAATGCAAATGGTCTATATCGATCCAAGTTTTTGGTATATATTTTCGGTATATTTCAAAATTATTAATGTAAATCTATGTTTTGATAATGCCCCCATAAAAATGTCCCACCCTATTTTGGATATTTTAAGATTTTAGCTGTAATTTTTACCGAAAAGGTTAGAAGGCATTTGGTGTTTTCAAGACTGCCAAACATCGATGCAGAAAAATTAACAATACAGGACCATGTTTTGCCCCTACATGAGGGCATTCCGGTATTTTGAGAGTTTTACTTGCATTTTCAACCTAAAAGACTTAGGAGGGTGGCATATATCGGGAAAGAAATTATAATAATAAGTTCATGGTTTGTCCTTTCACCTATGTAGAACCGTCCAATTTTCGTTATTTTGCGGGCTTCTTATACATTTTCTAATCGAAAAGGCTCTAATTTAGCATTTTAAGGTTTTCGAGTGTGCGGAATTCAGAATGATTGTTATAGGTACAGTTTTTAACATATCTTCGCCCATTTTTCGATATTTTGAGGGTTTTAGACACATTTTCAAATGGATTTCAAGGGTTTGGAGTCTGCCATACATCTGCGCAGAAGAATATATAGGTACAGGTTTTAATATACCCCACCTAATTTTCTATATTTTGTAGGGTTTTATCAAAATTTTCAAATAGAAAAGGCTCTAATTTATCATTTTGAGGTTTGCATAGATTTGCGGAAAAAATATATAATTATAGGTCAATGTTTTGACATAGCCCAACATAAAAGTTCTGGATAATTGAGAGTTTTAAAGACATTTTCTAACCGAAAAGGCATTCCAGGATCTTTGTAAAGATTTGGCCTTCTAGAATCTTTGTAAGATAATTTGTTAAATTTTTGTTAAAGCTCTTGGCCTAGTTTTTCTAACCTTATTGTATG